TATATTGCTATTAGTTATATTTATATCCAACCGATCAGAGTATAGCACTGTGAAAACGCACTCAATACCAACATGGATATTAATTAATTGCCTCTTAAGCTACCAGGGTTATTTACTAAAGCACAAATTATAAGAAATTTAAACTAGATTTGACATTTAATGTTGAAAAATAAAATCTAAAAATTACTTTAGTGTAAAATGTTAAATTCACTTTGAATTGCTGACAATTTTCACTTTAACAATTAAACCTTTATAGAGTTATTCATTACATAGATTAAGGTAACATTTCTGACCTCAGCATGATGCTCTCACAATTCTCTCAATTTTCATCTACATTTTTTAATCCTCTGCTTACATTTCTGACAAAGTGATCATATGCAATATGTGATCTTTTAATGTGTTTATTATTTTTCGACATTACATTTTACAGTATAACAGTTGCATGATTTAGTTTCTTTTTAAGGGAAATATTTAAATTTATTATTTGCTCTAAATGCATAAACCTTATTAAAAGGGACACTTAATCTCCTGGGAGTGCCATGTCCTCCATATTTTAACCCTGCGAATGAAAACATTTCCATTCTATAGCAACTAAAGGTGCTTCTGATGAAATAGCAGAGTAAAACTGCTATTTCAAGCAGATTGTCTCTCAGCATTTTGTTGCACATGCGCACTAGCCTCCCAATGCTTCCCTGTTGGGAAGCATTGGATTGACTGAGATCATCAGTCTTGATGGTCTCAGCCAAGAAGGAGAGGCAACAGCGTGGAAGTAAAGTTATGTAAACTACTTTTGCTTACTCTTTATAGGGGCCAGGAACCTATTAGCCTACCATGGCAATATAGCATTAGGAATACACACATGCTATAGTGTTCCTTTAAGAATATTTAGACAAAATTGTCTAACTATGTTTCAGTTTACATTTTGCCTAATCCACAGTGCAAACAGCCCAGTCCTGGAGAGGTTAAAATTTGAGTTCTTTTGAAACCCAATGATTTGTATGACTTTTATCTTATCTCAACATGTCACAATCATAGGACATCATACACATACAAAACAGGGCTGTGCTGCCTGTGTTTTGGCAGAAATATATGCAGGGTTGAACACTGGCACACGTTCATGACCCAAAAACAATGCCAAGTGTGTTAAAGGTATGTTTTATTAGCAAAAGTCAACATACATGTTGATATCTAAAATTATCCAGAGATAATGTTGTGTTCCTTAATCCAATACAGAACATATGTCGTATGAGGAATATTTAAATATGATGCGTAAAAACTATTACAAAGGCAGAGAGGTAAAATAAATACAAACTACATGGGCATCGTGGCACCTGTTTCAGGATTTTACCTCTTAAATGGCCTAAATGGCATTCACTAGACGACCAAGTATATGCCTTCACTTCAGTATACCAAATGATTCAGACACTAATGTGTAATGATTAGACAAATAACTGTTTTTGTTTTTTCTCCTCTTCAGGTGAAAGACCAAAGTACACTGGTGAACGATTAGGGATTGATGCAGATGATTCTGATGGTGCAGATGATGATGATGATAATAACGAAGATGAGGATGATGACAGCCAAGCTGAATCTGGTCTTTCCGCCACTCCATCTGTCACTGCCAGCCCACAACATTATCCCTTTAGAAACAGCCAGCAGGAGGCATCAAGTGCGGACGAAGATGGCAGAGTACCACACTGTTTTTCACAATCCAATTCAATGGACATTCTTCCCGAAGCACTAATCACAAGGATGACCGCACTTACCACTTCAACCATCTGCAAGCCACAAAGTCGGGAGGAGAAGTGCAAGGAATATTTACAGCAGAAGACTCTTCTTCAAAAGACAGAAACACCATCTCCCAAATCCCTGGGCCATCAAATGTCTGTAGATAATCCTGACCATGAAGAAAGTTTGGAGAAACAAGCAGAAAAAAACACTGCATCTACGGCAAAAGTGAGTTTCTTAAAAATATAATATTGAGATCTTAAATAAACTTTTGAAATATATTTTGTTGTAATATACTTTTAATGAGACCCTACAGACAGCCAGACCACTTCATCTCATTGAAGTGGTCTGGGTGCAGTGTCCCTGTCCCCTTAGCCCTGCAATTTAAAACATTGTAGTTTGAGAGCATTGCAATGTTAAGACTGCCTCTAGTGGCTGTCACTCAGACAACCACTAGAGGAACTTCATGAAAAGACGCTGAACATCCTCAAACTTTGCACGAGGATTTCCAGCATCTACTATACCCATAGGAAAGCATGGAATCACTGCGCATTGGGTTCCCCCTCACAATGACTTTTGAGGAGGTGGAGCCAGAGAATAAGGTAAGGTAAAAAAATTTTTTTAGCCCTTTGAGAGCTGTGGGAGTGGGTGTGAGGGTGGGGGGCAGGCAGAGGGACACTGTAGTGTTAGTAGTAAAGCTTTGTATTAATGCTTTGTTCTGGGTCTTGAATACTTCAATACAATTTTATATGTGCCCACATTGATACATAATTGTATAGATCCAAACTGCCACATGAATTTTGGTCAACACCTTAATTCTAGGATCTTAAGTTTGATTTCCTAGCCTTAACTTCTAAATTGAGGTGTTCTTGTAAGATGTGCTTAATTAGGATGTGCTGTTCCTTTTTGTCCTTTTTGTCCTGCTCATTATCATGTAGAATAGTTACTTTAAAGATGAATGATCACCTCACAAGATTTTATTTATTTTTAGTATGGATTTTTTTCCCTCATAATCAAAATATTGCTGTGACTGTGTATTTATATGTCTAGATAACAAAAAAATAACAACACAATATTTACACATTTGAATCCATAATATTATATTTCTCATGTGTTTTTTGTTGTTTATTAAATTTATGTTTTCTATAAACATTTTGGGGGTGCTTTTGTTTTATTTTATTTTAAATAAATTGCAGGTATGAGAGATGATGTTGAGTGTGGGGGCAGAGGGGGTTCTTTCAGTCACCCAAAGCTAGAGGACCTGCTGCCTTGGTCTCCATATATTACTTCATAAGCCCATGGGTTGGAGGAAGAAGGGAAGCCAAATGCCAGGCCTCCCCTGTTTATAATTAAATTACATTATAAATATTGTGCATGTGTATTTTTTTAATTAATATTCATTCAAGGAACACGCCAAGCGTCATAACCACTACAGTCCACTGTAGTGATCATTGCGCTAAATGTACCTTGACCACATCACAGCATAATCTGTCAATGCATTTTAGCATGCATTGAACAAACTGACGTTTAGCTTGTTTAGCACTAAGAAGGCCAAATGCAGAGTTGCTACCCAGCGGGAACTAGGTAAGTGTCAGACCATCCTGAAACAGTTTGACAGATTACATTTGTACAGCTTCAGACACTCCCGACACCATAAGCACTTCAGTACACTTTGTGGTTGCGGTGCTTGGAATGTTCCTTTAACCATTTTGTGTTGTAATTAAATGTGTTAATACAAAAAAAGCTTGTATTGATTTGTAATCCTCTTGTTGCAGAACACACCTTCTATTAATACACCATCTTCACCGGTTGACAGAAGCACACAGACAATGGATTCTGGTGCAGATCCAACAGGTTATGATATTCACCAGCAAAAATCAACTGACTCAACACAACAGCCTTCACCAATGTCAACTTCTCAAACGCATCTCTTTAGCCATTTGCCTTTGCACTCACAGCAGCCTGTGAGGTCATCTTACAGCATGATCCCAGTTGGAGGGATTCAGATTGTCCCTGCCAGTTTAACAGCGTATTCCACATTTGTGCCCTTGCAAGCTGGACCAGTCCAGCTTACAATTCCTGCTGTTGGAGTAATTCACAGAACTACAAGTGCTCTTGGTGACAAGGTTCCTGAGGCACCCAGTACCTCAAGCTCTATCGGAGTAGCTGAAGTAAATGGAGTTGTTCCATGTATTCCAATAGGTCAAATTAACATGCCTGGTCTCAGTGCACCTAGCTTACAGCCCATTCAGTCTTTGAACATGGAAACATTAAACATACTGGGTCTGTCAAATACAAACATGGCTTCACAGATTCAATCTTCAGGGCTTACTCTAAATGCTGTTGGAGTACAAGTTCTGACAGCAGGCCCGGCTCCCCAGAACAATCCCAGCCCACAGACTCACATTCCAGGTCTTCAGATATTGAATATAGCACTGCCCACCTTAATACCATCTATAAGTCCATTAACTGTTGAAGGCCATTTAGTACATGAGAAGTCACCATCAAGCAGCACGACGCATAGTCAGGTTCCAATCAGTTCTTCTGGGACAGACACCAAAAATGCAAGGAAGAACAACAAATCTCCACAGGTTCTGCCAGATGTTTCTGAGTCTCAGTCTCATGGAATGTCAAGTGATTCCACTGTTGTTAATGAAAAACAAATCACTTGCACTAGAAAAGTTGACACAGGGAACCTTCTGACCCAACAATCTGTCAGGGCCAGTCAATATAAAACAACATCAGCACCAAATCTCTATCTAAAGGTAAATTCTGAAAGATCAACCAGGCCGCCTCTTGGTCAAGCTTCTTCTCCTGTAAGACATCAGAGAAGAGTGAATCTGATCTCACGACAGAATACTGTGCAATTTAGTGATTCAAGCAGTGATGATGACGAAGGCAAACTGGTTATAGCAACTACAGACACTTGCTAGCATTTTTTTTTATTTTAGTTTGTTTTATTTTCCTTTTGTATTTCTTGGGGTAGGTTTGGAAAGAGAGACCTAAAGGTTTATTATAAAACCTTCCTGATCTTTAAAGCACATTTTTATCTTAAACTTTACTTATATGTGTGCAATCATGAACTCTTGACCAATAAATGTTTTTGTTTGTTTGTTTTTTTTCTCTTGTCCGCTCCCACCATTTTTGTACATGTTGTATAGACAATTGTGCCTTTCAGAGTTTTATGTGTAGAAATCTGTACATATCGGTGAATAAAATATAAATATATATATATATATATATATATATATATATACACACATATATATATATATATATATATATACACATATAAAGATATTATATATGTACATAACCAAGGTAGTTGCTTGTGTTTCGTAGGTAAATATCTCATGTTGAGTAATATGATTAAATTATGAAACCTACATGTATATGTTGCACTGTTAAATGTCATTTTTTAAATGGATGTGGGGCAGATTATGTGTACAGACCTTGTATGTAAAACTCCATATTTATTGTGTCCATATAAGTCTTGATAAAAATGGTTCTGTCCATCTTTCTGTGCAAGACGGTAGCTTTACACTTTAAACAGAAATTCTGTGTTAACAAAAGTTCCAGTAAAATTTTTATTACTGATTTACTTTGCTTGTATTGTGCCTTTCTGAGATGAATGGACCAGTCCTCCTAACGTTTCAAATGCATTGTCCTAGTCTGAAATAGAGACAGCACGTGTTTACGTATGTATGCACTAGGAAAGATAAATGTCAGGGACCCTATTATTTTGCAATCTGTCGCTGTATTGTGAAATTAAAGGAAAAGTTTTGTTTAAAAAACATATTTATATGCACCTGAACAAGGCTAGTAAAATAAAAATATCATCTTACTAGTTCTCATAACAATTCAAATGTTCTACAGCTAAGCTTATCTGCTATATTTTTGCAAAGCACCGATATCCTTGTTCTTGTTGACCAACGTCCAATCAAATATTTCTCTTTGAGGAGCTTGTGGATGCAGTGAGCATTCTTGAATCTATACAACTATACTTGAAAATATACTGTATATTACTCAAAAATATATAGTGGATTCCATGAAGTATGGATGTGGAGTTTGATTTCTTCTGCCCTTTTCTAACTTTACCTGATTTGTCACAAGAGGCTGCTTTGCACTATAAGGCAATTCAGTGAGCATGAAAACAATTACATTAAGCACACTCTCATTGTCTGAAAATGAAACTTTTAAACTCCTGGAAGTGTGTAGGGATGCTGTGTGAGTCATAGTTGGGGAGTTGCAGTTAGGCTGCAAAACATGATTTGACTCCTAAATGCAGTGGTGTAACTACCAGGGTCGCAGGGGTTGTGCCTCGTCACTCCACAGGGCACGGCTGCAGCGGCGACCCCTGCAGCCGTGGACCTCCATCACTTCATGGCCAGTGGATGGCTTGAGGTCACAGGGTGACCAGCGGGAGGGAAGCACACAGCATAGCGCTCCCCTGCTGCCGTCTGTTTCCCTCTACCCGGTCTGAAAGGAACTGCTCACTGAGAGAGCACTTCCTGTCAGATTGGGTACTGCAGTCCTCTTGGCCACGCCACACGGACAGCGGAGAACAGGTACAGAGGGGGGTGGGGGAGAAACACATAGAAGGGATTGACACATGGAAGGGGGGCAGGGAATTGACGTGGAGTGGGGGGTTGACATATAGAATGGAATAGGGGGGAATAAAGACACATGGAAGGGATGGGGAGACGGATTGCGACACATGAAAGGGACTAGGGGGAATTGAGACATATGGAAGGGACAAGGGGGGACTGAGACACATGGAAGGAACTGGGGGGAATTGAGACACATGAAGGGACAGGAGGGGAATTGAGACACATGAAGGGACAGGAGGGGAATTGAGACACATGGAAGGGATGGGGGGAGATTGAGACACTTGGAAGGGGCGGGGGGATTGAGACACCTGGATGAGGGGAGGAATTAAGACACATGGAAGGGTTTGGGGGAGATTGAGACACATGGAAGGGACAGGGGGATAGGGGTTAGGAATTGAGACACATGGAAGTGGCTGGGGGGGTGAATTGAGACACTCGGAAGGGACAGGGGGGTTTGAGACACCTGGATGGGAGGGGTTTCAGACACCTGGATGGGGGGGTGAGACACCTGTGTGGGGGGGCGTTGGGACACCTGGATGGGAGGGGATTAAAACTCCTGGATGGGGGGGTTGAGACACCTAGATGGGGGGGATTGAGACACCGGGATGGGCAGGGAGGAATTGAGAAACATGGAAGGGTTGGGGGGAATTGAAACACATGGAAGGGTTGGGGGAAATTTAGACACATTGAAGGAACGGGGAGTTGAGATACATGGGTGGGATGAGGGGGATTGAGACACATGAAAGGAACGGGGAATTGAGACACATGGAAGGAACAAGGGGAATTGTGACACATGGAGGGACTGGGGGGTATTGACACATGGAGAGACTGGAGGGGAATTGAGACACATGGAAGGGGGATATACACATGAGGGGTACTGGGGGGATTGAGACACATGGAAGGGACGGGTGGGATTGAGACACTTTGGATGGGGGGTTGAGACACATGGAAGGATTGGGGGGAATTGAGACACATGGAAGAGACGGGGGTTGAGACACATGGAAGAGATAAGGGTTAGGAATTGAGACACATCTAGGTGGCTGGGGGGGGTGAATTGAAACACTTGAAAGGAACAAGGGGGGATTGAGACACCTGGATGGGGAGGTTGTGACACTTGGTTGGGGGGGGTTGGGACACCTGGTTGTGGGGGTGGTTGAACTGAGGGAGTTGAAACACATGGAAAGGACTGGGGGTATTGACAAATGGAGGGATTCGGGAGGTATTGACACATGGAAGGGATAGGGGATTTGAGACACATGGAAGGGGGGGAGGGTTGATGAACATGGAAGGAAAGGGGGAATTAAGACACATGGAAGGGATGGGTGGGAGAAGTTAAGACCCATGGAAGTGGCTGGGGGGTGAATTGATACACATGGAGAGGACAGGGGGGAGGGGATGCTGACACATAAAAGAGACTAGGGGGGATTGAGACGCATTGGAAGGGACTGGGTTAATTTTCACATAGAAGGGACTGGGAAATACATGGAAGAGACTGGGACTGGATTGAAACATATGGAGGGACTGGGGGTGGATTGAGACATATGGAGGAACCGAGGGGAAATTGACACATGGAAGGGACTGGAACAAAATACTAAAAAAGGACAAGTGAATATAAAGGCGCTAATAATACTAAGTATAGTGTAATAGCTCATAAAAACACAATAAATATAAGAAATCTATATAGGTGCGCTGTGCCTTAAGACAAAATTATTTTAAAGTGCAACAAGTGATTAGTGATTAATGTGCAAAAAATTTGATTTGCATTGTTGTGCATAAAATTCCTTAATATATATATTGTGCACACATGCATAAAATTGTGATAGAAAGACACAAAGCACTCACCTTAAATGTTGGTCATTTAAAAATGCATATGATGTTCATCTCCATGTATCATACAAAAGGAGGAAAAGAAATACAAATAGTGTAAATATGTATAACAGAAAGCAAAAATATAATAGATAAAATGCACGCTCACATGCACGCTCACAAAAGTAGAGCAGAAGAGCCTGCTCTAACTATGACAGCTCCAAATACCACTCCAGGGTAAAAAAATCACAGAGACAGTTAATCCACTTCACAGATTTATTGCACAGAAAACCATATAGCAGCTTCATCGAAAAATCCCCCCTGTATACAGTGCCACAGTTCAGGTACTTGTGAAATACTTCCTCCATGGAATTGAGACACTTTAAAGGTCCTGGAGGGAAGATTGAGAAACATGGAAGGGACAAGGGGGGGATTGAGACGTATAAGAGGGACATAGGGATTGGGATACATGAAAAGGACGGTGGGCGGGGGGGATTGAGACACATGGAAGGAATGGGGTGAATTATGACCCATGGAGGGGACTGGGAGGAATTGAGACAAATGGAAGGAACTGAAGGGAATTTGAGACACATGGAAGGGACTGGGGGGAGGAATTGAGATACATGGAAGGGGCTGGGGGTAAACTGAGACACATAGAGAGGACTGGGGGGATTGAGACACATGAAAGGGACGGGGTTGGAAAGGGACTGGGGGGATTGAGACACATGGAAGGGATGGGGCGAATTATGACATGCAGGGGGCTGGGGGGAAATTGACACATGGAAGGGATAGTGGGATTGAGACACATGGAGGGGACAGGAGGGAATTGAGACACATGGAAGGGATGGGGGTAAGGAATTGAGACACATGGAGGGAACTGGGGGGGAAATTGACACATGGAAGGGACTGAGGGGAATTGACAGACATGGAAAGGACTGGGGGAAATTGTCACATGGAAGAGAATGGAGGGGATTGAGATGCATGGAACGGACTGGCGGGGAACTGAGACACATGGGAGGGGGGAATTGTCACATAGAAGGGACTGGAAATGGCTTGAGACATGTGGAGGGACTGTGGGTGGATTGAGACATATGGAGGGACTGGGTGGGAAATTCACACATGGAAGAGACTGGGGTGGAAATTGAGACACATTAAAGGGGGGGGGAGATTGAGACACATGGAAAGGGGATATAAGACACATGTAGGGTCTGGTGTGGGATTGAGACACATGGGGGGGTTGGGTGAGGAATGAGACACATGGCTGGGGGGGGGTGAAACACATGGGGGGGGTCATTTTAGCACTGGGGCCGGGTGGTTTTTATTTACGCCTCTGCCTAAATGACCAGCAATTGAGCAGTAATAATCATGATCTATGCATCAACACCACGTAATTAAGCTACAATTGTGTTAGTAGTTTTTTTTTTGGGGGGGGGGGGTTTGTGTGGTATCCCTTTAAGTTGAAATCTGACATACTTTTGTCGTTTGAAATTAAAATTTAGCTTAATTTTACACATTATTTCTTAAGTTACTGCAGCTCACTTTTTTGTGATTAGAAGTTTGTATATTTCTGTTTTTTTCTCTACTCTGTGAACTTCTAGTACATCACTATTGGGAGACTATTTTTCATTTTCTATGTGCATCATATGGAGTGTTTGTTATTTTCAGTGATAAATGCACACCAACTGTATGCAAAATGTCCTTAACCATAACTATTGTGAGGGAGTTTGAGGATATATCTTGCAGAATTGTCTATTAGCACCTCTGCACCACCCCTTACTCTTTCTATAACTCTCCTTACCTTCTCACCACGTTTTCGTTATTACTTTACATCTCCTTCTGCCTTTCCTGACCCCCCTTGCCCCAATATGTGTCTCTTTATTCCCTTATGTGTCTTTCCTTTCTCCCTAAACTCATTTTATGTCTTTCTGTACCCCCTCCCTATTTTCGTGTCCCCTCAACCAGCAGTATGTTTAAACCCTTGTATGTTTCCCATCTACTCAAGCAGGCATATGTGTCCCACACTTTCCCATATTTAGATTGTATTGTGGTATAGTAGGGCCATGGAAAAGTATCTTTGTGTTTGTCTGCCCTGTCTGTCAGGGCTGCTCAAAGCAACCAGTGTGTGAGAGGGAGAGGGCACAGTATAATTTTCAGTCCTTTCTCCCTCTGATCACTGTATGGTACTTTGTGCCTGGAGCAGCCCGGACAGGCCAGGCAGAGGAACATCAAGATCCTTTAATATGGTTCTCCTTGTCCATACTCCATAGTGTAATAGGGCTAGAGGGTTCTTAAAGGGACACTATAGGCATTGCAACTAATTAATTTCCTTGAAATGGTTGTAGCGTTCAGAGTGCCCTGACGTTATCCTTCCAGTTAGTTAGAAAATAGGTTATATTTTTACATTGAATAGTAACATGATGAATTGCATAGATCATAGATATTTCATGTGGGTGAAGGTCCTCTGCATGAAAAAGTTAGCTAAATGTCCATAGTTTGCACAGAAAAATCTATCGACCAGAAGGTTT